GAACGCTACTAGGAGCGAAGGGCATCGCTACTAGGAGCAAGAACGCTCGATTGAGCACTGGATAAAGATTGGCTGAGATGTGTCGGTTGGCTGTCAGCTCTCAGTGGGAGGATCTGTTGATAGGACTGATAGGCGCAGAAAGGAAAGTACCTCTCTTGTTCTACCTTCAGATCCATAGACTTTCTATAGACTCTACCAGATCACCCAGTCTTGCACCAGAAACATTTTCACCTCCAAATCATTGTTTCACCTCCTGTTCTGTTTGGTTTCCTTTTGGTTCTCGGAACGCCGTGAAGAGGTAGCTAACAAGTAGCTGATGACTGAAGAGGTAGCCGTGATGAGTAGTAGTCAGTTGCAGGGAGCTGCTAGTAGTCAGTAGCGCTACCAGGTGGTGGTACGCAGCAGGGCTCAGGCTTCTTCAAGCAAGCTCTCCCGTCTCAGGGCAGGGGGAGGTTCTTTGAAGAACCCCTCGCATGATTGATTTGGCCCCTAGAGCTTCTTGCTCCTAGTAGCGATGCCCTTGTTACGAGTAGCTTGTTGCTCCTAGTAGTACGGCCAGGAGCCCCTAGTAGCGTTCTTGCTCCTAGTAGCAATGCCAGGAGCCCCTAGTAGCGTCCTCCTCGCATGATTGTTGAGGAAACTCAGCATTTGGTTTGGCAGTTCGGACATGTTTGATGGCTTTGCTTCTGAAACGCGCAGCAGTCTTCCGCTGCACTGATTAAATCCTCGTGCCACAAAGTCACACCTTGCGGTATGTCATGTTTTTGCATTCCTCCAAGCCCGCCTCGTCCCAGCTTTGCTGCACCTCCTCAGACCTGATTTCAGGGCATTTCAAGGCTCTCTTGCAAACGGGGACAAAAGTCACTCTTAGGGAACACAAGTCAGCAACTCTAATCCAGTGAAGTCCCAAACAGTAGATCATGGAAACACAACCTCAAAGAGGAAAAGAACCTTTCGAATCCAACCAGACATTGTGAAACGATGTGAAAAGCCGGAAAAAATCAACGCCAAAGTTAAAGGAGCGGACTGCTCCATGCCCCAGGCCATGGACTCCTGCATCATTGTGCCATTGTCAGCCTGGTGCCATCGATTCTCGGGACGAAGCCATGGCCTCCAACCGTCCCTGTCCATGGCCTCCAAAACCTAGAAGCGATGGCCTCCGACCTAATAGCGATGCCCTTTGTTCCTAGTAGCGTCCTTGCTCCTAGTAGTAAGGCTAGGAGCCCCTAGTAGCGTCCTTGCTCCTAGTAGCGATGCCCTATGTTCCTAGTAGCGTCCTTGCTCCTAGTAGTAAGGCTAGGAGCCCCTAGCAGCGTCCTTGCTCCTAGTAGCGATGCCCTATGTTCCTAGTAGCGTCCTTGCTCCTAGTAGTAAGGCCAGGAGCCCGTAGTAGCGTCCTTGCTCCTAATAGCAATGGCCGTCTTCTAGTGTACTTTGTATTTTCCTTTTAGAATTGTTAGGGGTATCTCTGTTTCACATACAAACTTCTCTGCAAAAAGGACGTGGGATTCCATGCCAATCTTTTTCATTTTCGGAGCGGCCCCATGATCAACCTTGTCAAAGAGTTTGTGACTAAAGCCATTGCATGCCATCTACAACTGGGGAGACCCCAGGTTGCACGTGCAACGAATGTCCTTTCCGGTACGCAGCCTCCATACCAAGTCCACACAGAGCTGCCATTTCAGGGTCAGCCCACATGGCTTCGTTGGTCCTGAGTGAGGCACCATCATGCACATGTCTCAAGATGTGTCTTCATCAGCGAGCAGAACCCCATCAGCAAATCCTGCAAAAACTGAGAAGTAACGTGACGCGCATACTGCAGACTGCATGCTTCATCATCCAGGTTGCTCCCTTGTCCTTCCCTTCCCAACACTGCGATCAGCAAGACTGCTGAAAAGCCTTCCCGACCCCATGTGTTCCGCCAAGATGCGCAGTGCCATCTCCTCCATCCATGAGGACTGGCAGAAGCTTACAAGCAACGAGAATGCAACAAATTGTGACAAGTGATTACAATTGAATTCCTATAAATTCAGCATGAACCAAATCAAACATGTTCGACGTATTTCTCATACCAGTAGATGTTGCAAAATCCAGGTGCGCCTCCTTCCATCGCAACCATCTCGCACCTGAATTCAGGTTCTTGGAATCCTCTTTTTTTCACACTCGTTCCTGCCAACATCAAACAGCATGTCCGGAAGCTGGTGAAACCTCCCAATCAAATGCGAGAATTAAGATACATACTTTTTGGTCATCCTGTTTCAACATGTGTTACACCTGCTTTTATGCCGAGTCAGGAACTGGGCCATGTCCTCTGGGTTTACACCCTGAGCCAAAGTCAAAAGAAACAGTGGCATGCTATTGAGCACAGCAATGAACATAAGCAAGAGTCTGACCCTGGCCTGCATGGCATCCACTGGCATGCACATTGACCTAAGCACTCAGGCATGGCATCTCCTTCAAGGATAGTCTGTTGCCACCAGCAAAAGTACAAAGCCAGGAAAATAAAACCGCAAACAAGAAAACCACGTCCAAAAGTAAAAAAAGCAAAACTTCACCTCTTGACTCTTCACATGTCAAGCAATCTGCCAAATCAAATGTTGGGTTTGGACAACACCAAGCCCTTCTATTAAACCAACGACCAAGCCAAGTGCCACCCAGACATGGGGTTGTACATCATCTTGGCACAGTTGCGGCGCGATGAAAACACTGCAACACACGTGGTTGGATGTTCTGTCTATTTCGGCGATTAGAATAATTAGACTCTACTGCAAACTGAGTTCCACACTGGCACACCGTAGTATGCTGACATGTCTCCGTCGTAGCCCATTCCTTTCCCAAGCAAGGAAGCACTTTCTGAGTCAAGATCCTGTCCTCTAGCATTCCAAATGCGCATGTCGCATGATCCCCTTTTGTTCGATAGAACTAGCGCGTTGACTCCCATTGACATGCTGATGCACCGAATTCATCAAATAATCAATTAAAAAACTATAAAGCAACGAAGGCCATTGTGGCCATCTCATGCTGCGGCATGCAGCAATTGCACTCAGGAATCTGTGGCCTGCGTGAAGCACAAGGATGCCAAAAGTACAAGAATCCATGATGTAACACTCTTATGTCGCCGTCGTGCCCAAACGCAGACCGCGTGACGGCCCCTTCTGTAGGTTTCATATTCGTAACTTGGAATGTGTCTTTTCAGTCTGAAGCCACCTGGAATGTGGTCAAGCATGGCATTCTTACAAGCTACCTCACAATCACAGAGTACTTCTGTGCACGGATGTTCACATCATGCTCTCTATCCAACAATCTAAAAACTAATTTGCAGGACTGGTGCCATCCCCCAGCCTCCTTCCCATCTCCTTCCCCAGCGCCTGCAACCGCTGCAGCTGCATTCCTACTGGTGTTCTGACACGGCGGCAGCGTGCAGCATAGCTGGCACCACCAAAGGCATCAGCCAAAGGGGTGGCATGAAGTGCGAGCAACGCAGATACTGCCAGCTTGCCGTTGTACTCCTGAGCCCCAACTTCATTTGCTTTTGTGTTCAAAGTGAATGTCACCACCGGTGGCAGCCGAGAATCAAAAATAGATATCCTTTCCACTTTTGTACTGATATATATATATATGTTATACATTGTATGTCTTTTGCCACAAAACTCGGAGCCGAAACACCACTGTAGGACCTTGCACCCGGCAACGCAGCAGCATCCGCGGGGCCAACAGAAGTTTGGAGTTCTGTGGCAATGAAAATGTAGCACGTAAGGCTTCCTGGAGCAAAATCGGCTCCAAGGGATGACGGATCGACAAATCAAAAGGATCAACAAAAATAAACCACAGGGGTCAAAGGGTCAAAGCAAATTAAGATAATCCTGGAATGAAAGGTGCTGGCTTTTGATCTTGAAGCTATTTTTTCGTGGCAGTCTTCGTGGCAGGCTAAGGATTGTTTTCAGGGTTTTCGAGCGTCAGAGTTCGCAGTGGGGCTTGTTTCGGGCGAAAAGAAGAAGGTGTTCAACGAAGTGGCAAGAAAATGACAAGAACAATTCAAAAGGAAAGTTGAAAGGTATCAATTTGCGGAATTGAAGTGTGTTTTCGTCTTTTTTGCAGCAGTTTTTTTTTTCCGGGTATTCTCTAGTTTCAAACTTGAGGGTTTGGATGAGTTTGGGCGGGTTCCACGCATGCCGCGCGCAATCCCCGTGAGCGAAAGCGGCGTTGACACATTAAAGTAAGTGTATTGGTGCAATTGTAGCTTGAATGCTAAAGGACATTGAAGGATTTCAAGGAAATATATAAAAGATTATAAAAGGCAAATCAACAAAACTGGAAAATGAAAGGCAACAGAAAGGCTGCTGAAAAGGACATGTAGTAGTTTGCGCGGGAACATGCGGTTCGTTGATCTTTAAAGAATCAATTTTTGTGGCAGATGCATTGCTCCGGAAGAAGTAGTGCAGATGTCCTGGCGGGGAGAGCGAACCAACAGACAAAAGCCCGAACCAACAGACAAAAGCCACCATTCAAGAACAATGTATATAACCATAAAATGTATCCCCCAAAAAAGGGACAACCAACCAGCCCAGAGTACCAGGGGACTGGACCAGACAACGACCTAGGAACCAGAAGACCAATGCCCCAAAGCACATTAAAAGAACTAAAAAAGCAATCCATTCGGACAATTTATCCAATGAGCTGACTACTACAACATGAGGAGCAAGAGACCGAGAGGCAACAATGAGAAGAGGAGAAGGGGACAGAAGAAGAAGAAGAAGAAAAAGAAGAAGAAAAAGAAAAAGAAGAAGAGGAGACCAGACCAGACCAGGGGAGCAGGGGATCAAAGGACGGTGACCACAGGACCAGGGGAGGTAATTCTATTTCTTTGATCCTGTTCTCCTATGTTGACTGATCCTGCTGGCCTCCAAGACTACTCCGGCAAACGATTCCGACACATGACTCCCTAGAAAACAGGATTGGAAAGGCACACTCATGCTCAAGGAAGGCTTCGAAAATGGTCCTTGGTGTTGATGCGTATGAGACTCGACGCTAGCAGTTGAGTCTTACCATGCAGTTTCCCAAGGAGCCTCCCACAGTCTGCACAGGACCCCATTTACTTTAGACTCATAGTACTACATGTCTGTGTGTGTGTGTGTTTATTTTTCAAGTTCGACAAGCACACAAGTTGCAAAATTGACAAAGCTAAAGGAGCTGCTTTCAAATTTGTTAAGTTACTATTTGGTGTATCCAGTCGAAGTTAGGACTTACCGGGCTTATCGTATCGTTTTACAGCGTTTGGTACATGAACACTGGTATCGCTTTGCCGGGACATATTGCATATATCAACATGGGCATTGTGTTTTGGACGTGTCCAAGGAAGAAACAATATCGTCTTGGAGAAAAAAGAACTTGCAGAAAGTAAATGAACATATACAATAATATACAATATATACAGCAACATTGAATCAGTAATTAGTAATAAGTATAAGCCAGCCTGGGGAGTTCTTGCCACGTAAAGCCCACCGCGATGTTGAGGCAAAGCACGACTTCTCAAGATGCGACCCACAGCGTATTCTGTGACCTGGGAGAACCAACCCAAGATTCACACCATAAACACTCAATCCCTGAGCCTTAGTGTTCTGGGGTCAACAATGGTTTAACCCAGCCAGCGCTTCTCGCAGTGCTGAGGATGGATCCAGCTAGCGCTACGTCCATATCAACTCTCAATTAGGCAAATACATCAAGTCAGGAATATCAAGCACAAAAGCGGGCTGGGAATCAATGGATCATAAGATTGGTGAAGCCACGCCATCGTAGATGCTCAAAAGTCGACCGTTGACCAAGGCGACAATCTGGGAGCAGAGGTGGGAAAGCAGCACTCCAGCTGACAGCTGATGATGTCCAAGCGAACAATCAAATGCCTTGTCAAGAACCTTGTCCCGGGATGTCCCGGGATTGTCCTCATGTTTCTTCTCTATTCCGAACTCTTCCTGTCTGATCTCTGCCTGGCCTTAAAGAAGTCTCCACGCTCGAAGCTCATGTGCAATAGTTCTACGAAGTGTCAACCTTGTGACAAGATATCGAGATGTTGATGTTCGAGCAAGCTTAAACTACATCCTTCAGCAAACCTTTGTCATGCTTCTTTTGTCGCTCAACATACCTTTCCGGTAGCTTGCCATTTCTTGCCTTGATTTCTAAGTAATGAGTGCATGTCACCCTTGAGCCAAGAGTGAGTGGCTCTGTAAGAAATCCAATTTGGTTGCTTTTTCAGAACTAAACAATTGCACAGCAACTGCACGGACACTTGCCATTTGTTGTGGCGCCTGAGCTGAGCATCATTGCCTCGTCACCCCATGCCGGGGGCAGGCACATGTCCTCTTCGCACATCCTCCGTGCAATGTGTCGTGCAAAGACTGGCCAAAGCCAGCCATGCTAGCATGGATCCAAATGGATCAACATCACGATGCCTTCTGTGGCAAGTATTACTTGAGGGTTAAGGTCCCGACCCAGGGTACTCCAAAGGCGGCACCTCTGGAGCAGGGCGTAGGAGAGGTGACCTCAAAAATCGTCAGATGTTCAAGAAACTACAAATGCCTAAACAAAGCTCTTGACGGAGTGTCTGGAACGAAGGAGGTCTCCTTGGCCAAGCAGCCACGAATTCAGTGCTCACGTATATCGAACATCGCACAACGGGGTGGCACGGTGCTACGAATCGTATCTTTGAATCACTTGAATCCATGTATGTGTCAGTCTGTACTACTATATATATATACGACATACATACACGCTTCAATCAAAGCTTTGTCTTTGCCTTTTGCCCACCGACAGTGAGATCGTGTTTGCTACGGGCACTGAAGTTGGTTGTCAACATGTTGAAGCCCAGGACCGCCCGAAGAGCCTGGCTCATATATAACTATAACTTGAGGAACTTGCTGCTGCATGAAATTGCCCAAGGGCACTTTGACGAGCTCTTCTCCACAGGAGGCCGTCTGTGTTCGCTAGTGTTAGTATGGTCTTTCCGTGTTGTTGTCCTGTTGGCAACTTTTGGTCTTTGGTCAGGCACAAATTTCAAGTATATTATGCTTTGCTATCTTTGCTCCCTACCATTGGGACTCAGCCGGGGTGGTGGCGTTTGGGTGCTTTATTTCTTGGCATCTTTTAGAGGAACAGCTGCTCATGTCAATCTGTAGGCAACATAGTGACATAGCCCTCTTTGACATTTCAGCCCCTAAGGGGATGCTTGATCAAATGCCACCCTGTTGCCACGTTCATGGCTGTCATTGTCTTTCACAGTCGGAAATCATGACATGTCATGGTGCCCGTTCCAGCCAGGAACTGGGTGCTGGGGTTCTTTGCTCCCTCCGTCACGGCCTATTTTCCCTTGTCTTTGATGGTAGTCCATATTGGTAGAAATGTTCCTCGTTCTTCATCTATGCCAATCCTATGCTCGCATGAATTCTGCCATCAAAACTTGCATACAGTTGCGATCATTTATCTTTGCCTGACGAAATCTTTTCTGCAACGAGGTGAAGGATGCAGCTAACACCCCTTCTGAGAAGCAAACCCTTGGACTGTCGCAAGGCCTCAGTCAAGCAGTCTCTGAAACTCTGTCAGCTAAACTAAGTTTGAACTTGTGCTTTTGCCTCAAGGCTTCAAACATATTGGATCTCGCAAAGAAAAAAAAAGTGTCCGACGATCTTGCCGGCCCTAGTGGAGGCGAGAGTGCCTGCAAGGCACTCTAAGGTTAGGGACTTCCAGACTCTCGTGCAGATTGGCACTGCACTGCTATTTACTTCCTGCAGAGTGCATCCAACATCTGAGAAACACCAATTCTTGAAAGGTCTCATTCACAACTTCATCGCTGCATCAGGTCTCTTTCCACATGCAACCATGGCGTGCAGGAATGATGCTTCGTAGCACTAGCATTAGCACAGTCTCGCAGGCCATCAAAAGCCATGCTTCTCTCCCATCATCTTCAGTAGTCGCTGGAATTCTCCCAACCTGAGGCATACAGCTTGTACAAAGCAAACATCTGAAATTGTCTAACATTAGAGTACGTGCAAATGACTTGCTTGGATCCCGGAAGCTGTTCGCAGTTGTCAGTCTGTCCAGCGATCTCTAGCTGACCTATGTTTTGTTTTAGTAAAGGTTATGATTTTCCCAATATTTATCTGATATTATCCCTTCAGCAAGGACACGAAAGCCGGTCATCACGGTCCTTAATCAACTCACATCTGACTGAAAAGCTATTATCCTACTGGTCTCTTACTGTCGCTTTGAGCAAAGGTTCAGCATCCACCGTCTCAAAGTTCTTCACACAAGCAGACTTCATTTGCTCGATTTCAGCCTGTCACAAATACTAGTCTTGGGATTTGTAGATACCAAATTCTGTCACCGTCAGGCTATGGCTATGGAAATGTGCCTTGCTGCGCCGCTTTGCTGCAGTAGCTCGTGCGACCACACTTGTCAAGGTTTCTTCCAAGGACAAGCTCTGCATTTCCTGCAACTGGCAAGCGAAGACCTTATCCAGCAATTTCCTCTGGATCTCTAGTTGCTACAGCATGTGCGCGAAGCCTTGGCAGTGTCACCAGCAAAATCTCCAGCCTCATGAAAAGCTGCCTTAGTTGCTCTGGCCAAGAATGTCGGGAAGCGCAACAATGATCTCTTGAAAATAATGATTAACAAATTAAGAAATAATAACAAATGAACATCCAGCTGCCAAGCCTGCCCTGTTCAAATCAAGGGGCCACAGAGAAGGTTACGAGCGCCTAAGTTCAGTCGACTAAATGGCAAGTTCGTATCGAGTTTCGGCTGAACAGGACTGTAAAGTGGAGACGCTGACATGGCAGAAGCAATCCTTTGCCAAAGTGCAAACAGCAGGATTTTCGCTGGCTCCCACATGGCTTTTTGAGGCTCTCTGGACTCAGAAGGGTTGCAGAGGTTTTCACTACAACCAAGACACTAAGACATAGGACTACCATGCATGGTTGGCAACATGGAGATTGTCGGGTCAACCGTCAACCAATGGCATTGGTCTATTAAGATTCTATTCCTGCAAGGTGGGCAGAGCAGTTTCACAGGCCACTTGAGCTCAAAGTTGTGGATACGTCCGCTATTGTGCTATCAGAAATCTGAATTGAGTGAACTACAGTGACAGTAAGTAGTAACAAAGAAGCAAATGGCAAAACATAATTTCTCGCTCGAATATGTACCCGTACCTGAAGCTTGTCTGTGGCGTCGCTCTTGCATCGGCGACCTCGCAAGTAGACCTGCGAGCAAAGGAAATATGTGTCCACGACATATCCATGTTGCGACCTAGTCGATCTGCACACACGTTTCATCTCGTTTCTACTTTTTAATACCCGTTGAGTTGTGCAACTTTTTCTGGGCGCACCGCACGATGCAAAGTTTCAAGACCTTTTACAGTAGCAGGCCCGAAAATCGAAGAAAAAGCACCATGAATGGCTGGTAGGCCAAGTCCTTGATTGCTCTCCTCTTATATCAATGTGACGTCTTTCAATTGCATGTTTCATGTTGGATCTGCTGCAAAGAAATACACACACTTGATTCAGGAAATGCATTCTTCTACCTTCAATTATTCAATAACCCTTGATATGATTAGGACAAAATGAGCACCATCAATCAAGCACAGTGCTCTGGCTTATTCAACATATTCATGCGCATGAGTTTAAGGAATCCCACGCACTTGTCATATCAAATATAATCCGATATCCCAATGCAAGATTCCGCATTGATTCTGAAGATGTCTGCGGAGATCGCAAGATTGAAATGGACCTTGCGCCTTTGCCCAGCCAGGCTGTCACAAGGCGTCTTGCCAAGTGGCTGAAACTGCTCTCAAGCAAAGGATCAAAGCTGCTCAATTGCTTCAAAAGTCAAAAGGTCAGAATTCTTTGTGATAATCTGCGAGGATCCAAAAAACATGTTTGAGTACCTTTGTGCCTTACAACAATCACATGGGCAGCTCCTCCCTGTCCCGGTGAAAGCGGTTCAGTCAAATTGAGAATTTTCGAAATGTACTCGGCGTTCTGCCACGAACCACAGAAGCGCTTTTGGCAGCTTCATCATTGAATCCTCTTTGAATCTGATCAAAGCAATTGCATGTTGCACCCTTTGGCAATGAAGGACACTAAAGCTGAAAAGGATCGCTGCTGTGACGGCAGGAAAAGGTGGCGACTTGCGGCCCTTAAAAGGGGCTCTCAGTCTTTCTTGGCCTTGGTCACAAACTGCTCGCTCCCAAACTGTTAGGGCTGAAAGGATACAGAAACATATTTTGCTGCGAGCAAGTAATATTTCAAACAAACATCCACTTCAGAGCTTGAAGGTCCCGGCATGATCAGGCTCTATGCAGGCAAGGGTGAATCCATGCCTGGTCGCCTGCCACAACGTTCTCTGTCTATACACGAATCTTTGCCGTGGCTCTCTAGTTCTCTTCCAGAAAGTGGAACGGGAAGTGCTCAGAACTCTCTCAATGTTTGCTGGCAAAGAACAACGCGTTCGAATACCCTAAGAGCCTAAGATGCATTCGGAACCGCCTTCTCCCACCAACCCTCAACCTCATCGACATCCACCTGGCCAAGACTCATGGTGCTTGATCGACCCCGAAAGGAGAAGCGCACGATCTGCTTGCAGATTCGACTCATGAAACACCAGTATGCTGCCAGTATGCTGTATTATCTCTTCCATGAAGGGGCTCGCAATGGCTCACTGTTAGATCGAAATGCTCTGTGAAGGGCCAGAGGAGTTGATCATTGGAAGAGGAGATCTTCAGCAAACTGTGCAATTGGATGGATCTGAGCCCAGTCAACCAAGCGACCGTTCGGAATTTTTGTTGGTGCTTCGCACAATTCTGTCAAGCACATTCTTTCGATCAAGTTAAGTTTCATGAACCTGGAGAAATTCCAACTGTCTTCAGCGTTCGGAAATCGCCTTGGCATCCTAATTTGTTTAAGATCCTCCAAAGTCAGAACAGGCAGCTAGCCTGCTAGCAAACTATGGGCAGTGGCAAGGAAACGCAACGGTATCTTTATGCTTCTGTTTTTCCCACCAGGATATCCGACCAACTCCACCCAGCAAACGAATGTCTCCATTTCAATCTGCCACAGCCTCCCCAGTCTCGTGCTTTTGCGTGTTTTCCCTGGCATGGACGATCGCTGCCTCAGGACAAACAAATCAAACCAAACCAAAAGAAGAGGGTGATGGTGGTGATGGCGGCGGCGGCAGCAGCAGCCGTGTTATAGCCATGTTATATAGTGGGGCATCCAAGCTAAAGCTCGTACATATTGAGGTTCTGGTAAAGCAGTCTCACATGTTCATGTGGGTGAGAACTGACAGCTGCATCCTTACCTTCTGGAAGCTGTGCATCATTCAAAGCCCAAGAAATCCAGAATGAAAGCAGAATGATCCCCGATAACTGCACCGCACTAGTTCATCCGTTTCATTGCAGTCCGCACAGTCTGCTGGCAGCTGGTGTTCGATGATTGGGGCGGAATCCACTGCGAGAGTGGTCGGGCTCAGGCCCACACCGCCAAGCAAGCTGGAACTGTCTTCGGCACATCATGGCAGAAGGTCAAATCTGTGTCCTTCTGGCCTCACATGGTTCAAGACGATGTCAAAGGTTGCAAAAGGGCTGCAAAAGCTGAAGGAGGAAGTCCCACAGAAAGATATCACAGGCTAGGCACTATGACAGGCAGCTAGGCCAGTGCTACTTCCTCTCAGGCTTCGGCTGTAGCTCAGAGCTGCACCGTTGACATAGCGGTAGTCTTTGGCGATCTCCTGCGACAGGCTTGAGGAAAAGCAATTAATTCTTTGAGCAAACTGAAGTCTGAAGTTATACGCATTGCAATAGTTCCACTCAAATGTCTCAAATTCAGTCTAGAGCCTAAAAGGAAAGCATCCTTGCACCGGGCAATCGGATAACCAAAACGCAAGTCCACGTCCTCGCTGACATGAGGCACCGCAAAGTCGATGATCAAGGATTCAGGAGGGATCAGTGCCTCAAAACAGCTCAAAGACATGGGCACTGCGCGCGACAAGCTGAGTTGGAATGTCGTGCCTACACAGCTGGATGGATATCAGAGTACTCAAACATCCCGTGCCTGGATTTTCTTTGGCTCCATCACTTTCCCCAAGATCCACACTCTGCAGCCCACACCTTCTTCGTAGGTCTGCACCTGCAGAAGTGCATTCTCAGGTCCATTGCGTACGTGCTGAAAACGCGAGCACTCTAAGATTTTGGCCCTTACAAGATTCTTTCCTCCATCTCCAGCCTGGCATGACATCATCGGCATCATCCCCGCGCATCACGAAGAATCAAATCCGCCTCACTCTTGATTTTTTGAAATCGCTCCTCACAGCCCGTGATCATCCTTACCTGTTGCTGGGACGGCTGTGACTGTGAGGGAGGATGAAGTCTACCGTAAAATGTGAGGATGGGTCTAAACGCACTGGGCCATGCCATTGGGAGAGATGTATTTCAATACCTGTTTATATACCAATCGATTTGGTGCGAACTGCAGCGGGGTATAGGCATATAGGGTGTTGAACCTTGGCTTTCTTAAGTGCAATTTCCTTCTCAAAGCACAGGAGCAAAGAGCCACACTAGAACAAACCTGTTCAATTCTAGCGAGCATACTTGGGACCGCACGGTGTGACCCCGTCGTGCCAACAGAATGCAAAGAGCACGGCCAATCTTGGAAGTGGATCCGGCAAACACAATCTCATCCTGCGCAATGCGGCTAAGCATATGAGCTTCTGCCAAACCAAAACGTACAAGGTTATCGCTTTTGAGTGGGGCCTATCGCTTTTGCAGGTTCTAGCCGAATTCCTGAAATTCACGACCACTCTAAACTTGTTTAATTAGTCATCGCACGTGGAGAGTTAGCAACATGTCAATGCTGACTCCAACTAGATGCAGAAAGCCAGAAGATCCTACTGGTTTCCCCTTTCGCCTTAGGCTGGGTATATTGTCGCAGTGCCTGGCTGCACGTTGCAACAAAGCAGTTCATCTGACTGGCCCTGTGCTGCTTCTTTTCTGGACATGTTGTCTCGTGATGTTCCGAGCTCGTTTGCTCGCAAAGCTCAAGCCTGCCAAACAGCGGCAGCTGTCAAGGTGTTGCCATGCACAATCCGGATCTTGCGGTCTCCAAGAAGAGGCAGCAACTCTTTTCCTGTCGGAGGCTATCGCTACTAGGGCCAGGGTGGAGGCCCATCGCTACGTACTAACTAGATTGGAGGCCATCGGTTGGAGGCCATCGCTCTTGGGTGGAGGTCATCGCTATTAGGTTGGAGACCATCGCTGCTAGGGTGAACACTGCGTGAAGGCTCAAAGCCGCTGAAGACCCTTTCACGACCCAAAGGAGGACCCTGGGGTGCTGGTGCTTGAAAACGAAATCCGGTGTTTAAAATGCGTTCCATGTGTGAATCTACTCAGCGCCTCCTTGGTTGATGAACTCAGCCTCAGTCAAAGGTGACATTGCTTCCGGGGCCAAAGTTTTGGGCAACATATTGCTGTGTCAGAAAGGGCACGCTCCACAATATGCTCAATGCTTTCTGAGAAGTTGATGCGAATCTCATTGGTTCATATTGGTGGATATTGGTTCTGTCCTTTAGAGGACTGTGACTACATCAAAACAGCGTTTGTTGCGCCTTGTTGAGGTGAGCAAGGCCAAAGTATTTGACTCCTGCATCGTCTGCGTCTCGCACTGCCTGCAAGACCAAGGTGACTTTGACATGCGTCACAATGACATGGCTTGTGTTTCATACATGGCATTCCACGTCCAAGTTGGGCCTGCGCAATCATTTCAGAGATTAGTTGCCTCCGGCTCGAAACATCAAAGTCACAATAGGTCAAAAGCATGGTGGATATATATATATATATGTCAAGGACATCTTTTTGGTATATGTGCAAGCTGTCATGAATTGGACAATCGAATGGCATGAGCTCAACTGTCAAGACCTGCATGAGAGGCCGTGACATGTCTTTATTCCAACCACCTAAACGACAGGCCTGTGAGACTTCATGAAATAGAAGTGCCCTGTCACAGGCAAGCACCTCAGCATCAAAGTGAGATCCGTGCAAACCTGGATGGCTCCATTGGCGCTTCCAAGTAATTCGATATTGGCCAAGGTGCCACGTGGCACACTGTGTACTGCGGTATTGGTAGCCTCAAGTAGATCAACAAGCAACTCGACATCAAGTACAGTAAAGGGGGTAGGTCGTTAGCCAGAAGTAGCTAGGCAGCAAGGACGCAAAAGCGTGAAACAACTCGTAGTCCGGTCTGAGAGCAACCTGTGTGAGACAAATCTTCCTCTCACCTGTTCCAAGCTTCCGGACGCTGAACGCACGCAGTGCTCAGGCAGTAGCGGCAGAACAAGACCTGACTGATATGCGCTGCACCGTTCTCGCCGGACCGGGTAGACCAGGAGAGTTATTTCTTCGTCCAGGGTAGACCCCTGTACGTTTTCGTGTCCACTGAGTCCACTGAGTCCACTGGCCCACAGGAAGGTCAAGGGCTGCAACGGGATCATCCACCAGCGCTGCTCATGTTGGTGGGAGGAGAGAAATGGCGAGAGCCTCGCAAACACCCTTCCAGTCAGTCATGAGGCACTCTACGTGTTTGTTGCAGATGTCAGATTTAATTATCATCATTTACCTGATTCCACCTGCTTCAAGCAGCAGAAGACTGAGCTCCCTACCATGGCACGTGCAGCCTGAGCTTGCTGCGTGTTTCCCTAAAAATCTAGGAACCAAATCCAAATCCTTGAAGAAGCGTGAGCTATCTGCGTCAGCAAACTTCTCCTAGTAACTAGTAGCTTTTTAGTGTCTCCCTTACTTACTTAATTAAGTAGGCAGGGGGAGCGGGCTAAAAAGAAAAACGTTGAGGCAGAACAAAAACAGGTGGTTTCACCTCCTTGGCTCCCACTAATTGCTCGTCACTTGCATCTGTGGAGTCTGTGAAACCAAATGCCAGGCAAACTCCGAAATGGATACGAGATAGAACCACCTTGCCCTTGCTCCACAGTTCCGCCAATATTCAGAATTATTAGTCGTAATTTGGGTGGAGGTGATGAGCTTCTGTGCAAGTTGGCCATGGATTGGTGAGCTCGCGGCATGCAAAGGTTCATCTCAACAACACGAACTGCCGAACTGCCATGCACACCATTCAACAAAGCTGTTGGAGAGCGACCAAGTACCAGGCATGGAGTACGAGTAGTGTCCATGAGCCAGAAAAATCACATCCAACGGGCGAGGCTTCTGGGTAAGGACCTCAGAAACTACCACATCTCCTCTTCAAAACAAACCAGAAACAAGCAGTCGTCATATTGCTTAAAATGAGAACGTTTGATCCCAAAGTGCAAAAGTCAAAAGGACCTTTCTGAATTTCTCTCAGATACCTGAGTGTGGAGAGTGTCGGTCGTCGGGTGTACTGTGCCTCAAAAGCTGCAAACTCTGTCTGCTCGTTTTCCTTTCTTTCCCTTCTCTTCGAAACCTGTTTTCTTTCTTCCCATTCTGCTTCAACCAACTCTTATATAATCGTTGCCCATATTCCAAATGAGCACCTCAAGATACAGAGGCCGACCTACTGTTCGACTTCATCTGCGTTCTCCCAAACACCTGACACAAACTGGGTTTTTGGGCCGCCCAGGTAGTCCCAAATCGGACAAAAAAGGCAATAGTTGTACTTGTACTTGCCTCAGTACAGTGCACAACTCGAGCAAATGTCAAGGCAACCTGCTGTGAGTGCAGTTTCTCCCCGAGCTCAACACTGTGGTGGAGTGAGTGATAGGACGAGGTGTAAATGAAATACTTCAAAGGCCCTGCCTGAGAACACCCATGACATGTTTATCGGAACAGAGTTGAAGCATGCAGTGTGCAGTACTCAGTACTCTTGACGCTTGCACTGCTTTGGGCAAAGCCATTGCAGCCAAAGCGGCCTGTAGCCATCGCGGCACAACCTCGAAGTTGCAGTGGCCAATGCAGTTCATGATGTCGAAGAAGGTGAAGTATATTGGGATCTGAGGGCAACCAAGCTGTCTGCTGCTCTCCACAGAACCGGAAGATACAGACCAAGAACTTAGAAACAACCTAAATGTGCTTGTGTAAGTAGACCCAATATGTCGCAATTCCGATAAATAGAAGTCATTTAACAATTATTTTTCCCAGCCTCTCACCTTCCCTCCCCGCTCCCCTTTGTGAAATTCTTGATGGATACACTCAAAATGGAAACACCGAAGCAAAGGTTGAAATTGAAACACCGAAGCAAAATCAGATTCACAGGATTGCAACAACTTCCGAAAAAGCCTCCGCTCCTTGATGCAGCGTCCACTGTCAAAAACACTGCTCAACTACCAAATGCAGCACAACACATGGCAACTTATGAACAAACAACAGTTCTAGAACTTCGACAATTCCTCTGGGAGGGCGTGCCAATGACGTAGAGAAGCAGCCACACCATGCAGGCACAAGAAACCTTGGGCCGTCGGTAACACCGTGTCAAGCTTGCACGTGTAGCCTTTGTTGAGAATGATTATGCCTGTCAAATCCAGTGGGCGCACACAACACCAATGATCAATCCTCTGTTTGACCGCCCAAAATGCAGGTCCAAGGTTCTTCGAACCGGATTCTCATTAGGTGAAAGAGGAGCAAAGAAGAAAGTACGGATTCACGGCTCAGATCAGAAGCGCCACTTGGGATGTGAAACTGGACAAGCAATCTAAAGTCTAAAGATCCGGAGCAGTCATAGTTGAGACTGAAACGTGAGTGCACCGAGCATGATCTTCTGGGAAACAATCTTAAAAAAGTAAAGGTCTCGGTGTGCTGAGGTGTGAAAAGAACAATGAGGTTGATCTAAATTGCCTGCAGTGGTTCTTGTCCACTTCACTCGTCCAGTTGAACCACACGTGGTCTGTAGAGCTGCATTTTGCAGATCAAGCTGCTTCTTGGAAGACACTGAGCCGAGCAAACTTGGGAAAAGAGTCACTGGGCTCTGAATGTGGACGTTAACTTATATACTAAGTACTGTTTGACCATGTTTGACCTTGGAGGCCACCCAACACACATGACTCACATGTTTGCATTTTCCTACATCCCGCAGGTGTACCTGAGTACCTGGTGCAAATAACAAGGTAACTCAGGGAGAACAAACACACAGCGAACGCGTGCCTCTCACACTTGTGCAGTTCTGGACATAGGGTTTGCCGAAAGCGATTTCGGCAATAATCCCAACTGCTTTTGTATCCCTTTCAGCTGCTCGTTGATGTGAAGCTCAAGCTTTGCAAACATCTTCTTGGTCTCCTCCCCATTATCCTGCCACTTCAATGAATTCAAACTCGAACCCAAATGTTGTTCTTATGGTACAGCATCGGAAAACAGCTGTCACCTTTCCCCCCTTAGTTCTGTAAAATGGTGGGCGAGGCAAACCAGGATCCATTTTGTGGGAACCTACATGTTTTCATGTGCGAGTCTGTTTCGTGATGTGTACCGATGTATCAAAACATCCTTATCGTATCCCGTCATCATCACTCTGTTTTGGCATGTCACAGTACGTGTATGTGTATATAGATTACATATATAGATGATAAAACATGCAAATTCACACCTTCAGTAAAACCCTTAGTTACTCATGACATTGTGACACACATTGGTAGGCGCTTTGAGTTCCAGCGTCCTTCAATGACATACACTCTCAACATGACAACGGTTCTTGATTGGAATGGCCTGTGCGCTCGAGGGGGAGGGGGTGG